GGGTGTTGGCGCGGGGCTTGCCGGGAGTTGTAGTCCCTTCTCGGGGTCCCCGCCGCAGGTGCGGGCGCACCGCGCGGGGCGCGCGGACTTCGCTTCCCGGCGGCCCCCGCGCGGCGGCGGCGGGGGGGGAGCGAGAGGCGTTGTTGACGGGCAGCGGGCGGGGCCAATCGGGGCGCGCCCTCCCCTGCCCCGCCCCGCCCCCGCCGCCCGCCCGGCCCAATGGCGGGCGCCGCGCGGGGCGGCCGGGGACGGGCGCGGCGGGGCCTGCGCGGGGCCCCCCCACTCCCCTCGCCCCTCAGCGCGACCCCCCGCCCGCCACCGCCACCCCCGGCATCCCCCAGCCCGCACTGCGACCCCCGCGGCGCCACCGACGCTGCTTCGCTACGCTCTTCTTCCTCCCCTCCCCTCTCTCCTTCTCCGCCCTGCACGGCGCCCCCCGCCCCCGCCTCCCCCCGGCCTCCATTGCGGCGCCCGCCCGGGGGAAGGGGTGGGGTCGTGGCGCCCGGCCAAGGCTCCCTGTGGGCCCCGCGGGGGGGGGCGGCCCGGGCCGGCGCGGGGGGGGGGAAGGCCGGTCATGGGTGGGGTCCCCCGGGGCCGCCCCGCGCGGGGGTGTCGGGCAGGGCCCGTCCCCGCGCACCCCCAAGGTCGTTACGGGCCGGGGGGCGCCGGCCCGGCCGGGCCGCCCTCGCTCGCGGCGCGCCCCGGGAGGGGGTTGTTTTGACCCCCCTCGCCCGTTCCCTTATCTCCCCCCGGCCGGCTGCGGGCAGGGGGGGCCGCGGCGATAATCCCCCCGCGGGGCCGGGGCGCTGCTGCCCGGAGGAGCCCGGCGGGATAAGCCTCTCCCCCCCGCGGGACTGCGCAGCGGCCGGGCCGGGAGAGCTCGGCCAGAGGGGCTGCAGCCCCCGCTCCGGCCCAAACACCTCCCCCCCTGCTCGCCCGGGGAGCTGCCACTGCCTTCTCTTCGTCGGCCCAGCCTCCAGGGGTCTGGAGTTGGAGGTGGTGGGGCGGTTCAGGTACCCCCGAAGTGCAGTGCTGAGCCCCCCGTGAGAGAGCCCAAAGGTCCCTGCCCTCTTCCCCCGGGATTGTTGTGCTGGGAGGCAGGGACAAAGTCACGGGCAGGTCGCTGGGAACGTGGGCTGCAAGCTGGGCACTGCCAGGGGAAGGGCTTCCTTGGCTCTGCTGCTCCAGAAGTGTGGGAAAAGTTGGTTGGTGAAGCTGTGTCAGGAGAGGTTCAGGTGGGATATCAGGGAAAGGTTCTTCCCCCAGAGGGTGGTGGGCACTGCCCAGGCTCCCCAGGGCAGTGGGCACGGCCCCAAGGCTGCCAGAGCTCCAGGAGCGTTTGGATGATCCTGTGAGGGACAGGGTGGGATTGTTGGGATGTCCAGGCAGGGCCAGGAGTTGGACTGGATGATCCTTGTGGATCTCTCTCAGCTCCACAGTTCTCTGGGAAGCCCTGCGTGCAGAGCAGGGCTCCGGCACCTCAACCAGGACGTGTAAATCCCGGCGTTCCCGTGTCGAAAGCAACAGTTCCTGTTGTACAACCACAGCCGACGTGACTGCCTGGCCCCCAGCCTGGCTCTCCCTGTTCCCAGCTCCTGGAGACCCTTAGTTTGCAGGGCAGGAGGAGGTTGGGCAGCCAAAGTTTTCTCTGGGCTCAAGGACTCTTGGTAAGAGTTTGCTGCCGGTCTGAGTTCAAGATCAGCCCTGTGTCCCCAGGGCTGTTAATTGTCTTGGCTATCGAAGCCATAACTTATATAATAAGTATTTTATGGACATGGGTAGAGAAAGGCTCTGCCTGGAAGAATTTACAACCTAATGAGGGTTGAAGTTGTGCTCGGCGTAGCAACGGAGCTAAAAGGTCATCCCGGCGCTTTCTGAAAGTGTTTGGGTTGGTTCTTGTTGGTGTTTTTCAAGGAATTTGTTTTATTTCTCAAGGTTTCTGTCGGGCCTGGTTGGAAGTTGTCGTATGTGGGCACTTGTGGAGGCTGAGCAGGAAGAGACCGGGCTGGTTTTAATTCGGGTGGTTTGTTGGAGTTGTTGGATTTAAACTACTTTAAAAAAAAAAAAAATAAAAGAGACTGAGAGAAACTGAGCAGTTTATTAGAGAGGAGCCACTCTTGTTTAATATTCATTCTGGCCCCTGTTTAGGCTTGTTCTGGTGAAAGAGGGAGTGAAGAGGCGCAACCTAAACACGGGTGAGAGATGGTGGGATTTTTCCACCAAGCCTTAATTGCATTAGTAACTCCAGGGAGGGTTTTGCAAGGCAGGAGCTCTTCATAAATTTGGTGGTGAATGAAAGTAAGTTCTTTGCTTTCTGCTGCTCTGCAACTCTTCCTGTCCCTATTTTTTTTTTTTTTTTTAATTATTAATGGGTTTTCACTCGTATTTCGTCTCGGGGGGTCTGGTGCTGAACTTCAGCCGTGCCGTGGGTTTCGTGAGGAGCTCCTGCTCCCTGGAGCTGCTGGATGGAATTCGTTTGGCCCAGCAAAGGAACTGTGGGTTCCCTCCGTGTCGGGTGACTTTCTGTAAGCAGAATTAAAAATTCCACTTGTTCTCCCGGCGTGGGAATCTGGATGTGGGACGCAAATCAGGGGGAAATTTATGCTCCCATCGAGGCGCTGGGATGGTTTTGGGTGCTCTTGTCTTCTCTGAGACCTTCTTTGGGCATCAAGTCCTGCCCAAGTGCTGCGTTTTAGCTGCAGAATCGAGTCCCACGCAGGTGTCCCACCTGAAAACTGAGGGGCAGCCTGTGAAACTCCCGGTCTGCCTTCGAGACGCAGCCGAAACACTTGAGAACTGTGGTTTAATCTTGATTAAAATTGACACTCGAGGGTTTTTTCCCCCGTCTCAGGATGCTGAGTTTATTGGAAGAGGAGACTTGTGTGGTGAACAATTAGAACCCGGCTCGTTATCTCGCCTAGTCCAGGCAATAAACAGTTGCTTTAACTACGCTCTCCCAACCAGCCTTAACCTCAAATTTGAGCAGACCGGGCTGTAATTAAAAGCCTTGAGACGAGCAGAACTCAGGGAAAGGGGGAAAGGGAGAAAGACGGGCGGTCTCTGGGCTGAAGGGAAACATTTATCCCCTTCGGTGCCGCCTCCGGTGTGTCCGTCCCAATCCCTGTGCCCGGAGCATCCCGGAGGAGCTCTGGGAGGACGTCAGCGGGAGTAAACGAGGTCAGACGAGCGCTGGGATCCTCTGCGAGTATCCAGGGACGATTGTTTCCCTCCCAGCTCCCTGCCCGTATCGCCTTCCCTGCGCGCAGTTTCAGTTTCCGTGTCATCGCCGGCTCCGGTGGCAGAGCCGGGGCGGCGGCAGAAGCACCTCGGAGCACGGTGGGGGCTCGTTCCCCCTGCACACGCACAAAGATTGGGGAGTCTTTCCCGCTGCAGGTGGGAGGGAACTTACAGGGCTGGCCGGGCGTCCTTAATGTGACAAGGTGCGAGAAACTGGACCCGGGCTGGAGCTGCCCCGCGGGCGCAGGTGGGAGCCAAGGCCACGTTGGTGAGATGAGCCGCAGATCCCTTGGCAATCAGCGGCTTCCCAGCGCCCATCCCTGAAAA